TATTGAAGCCCCCCTGACCTATAATTATCTTGTGCTGCCGCTGTTGGTGTGATGTCCAACCCTAGGTATTTCTGTCTGGATCCAGTAATACACAGGAAATTCACTGAGTCCTTAGTGTTTGATTAACGTTGAGTTGAAAGGATGATATTCTAAAGAATTGGAGCAAATCCTCAGAGGACTCAATATAGAGCGTGAAAAAAAGTTAGGTCTCTTTTTTATAATGGGTCTGGCTTCTCTGGTAATCTGTGATGCTCTGACGAGTTTGGAAAAAGACTGTTTCTTGAAGGTTTCATTTAGCCTAACACTGACTTTGAATTGATCAAAAACAGATAAATAAATGATAGAAAACAAAATTTCAGGAAGGGACCAAATGTCATTAGTGTAAGATTTTTTTCAGTTTGAGTAAACTTTCCAGCAAGTTTGTTGTGTTATACTTTATTCCAACAATAATGACATGATGTCAACAGTCCTTTGTGACATTGGCATTGCCTTTGCTTGATAAGGAGTTCTGTGGTGTTTGAATGAGGCATATTCATCTTCTTTAGAGAAGGATAAAGTAAATCTTGGTGTGGTTTAGATTTGCTAAAACATTGTGGGTGAGGCGAGAGCATCCGTTGGACGAACATTGAATATCACAGCTGCATGTAAGCAGCCACGGCATCAAGGCCCATCTGGTGGCCTGTAGCACCCCAATACTCAGATTAAGCTCTGGATGCTGTCTTTTATTATCACCTCTATTTCACTATTTATAATACAATGTTTATCTAAAGCCTGTCCCCAGAGATAAAAGGGTTCTCAATAAATTAAAAACATGCATACAGAAAACCACACATGAATGTACACAGATGCACTTTTCTGTTGCAGAACAGTGTGTGTCGCTGTCACCATGCTGTTAACAACATCTATTGTTTGACACTGGCTTCATACATATGCTAATTCCCCTTTATTTCATCACCACTATTATGGATGTGGTGAGACAGCAATTAGGTACTGCACGTGGTTGAGTGCAAGTGGTTGTGAAAGAAGATGTGTAAGCTATTTATTTTTTGGGCATGACAGCTATGTGTTTAATTCATTAAAAAGAACATCAGAGGATTTGGTATGTATATATATATATATATATATATATATATATATATATATATATATATATATATATATATATATATATATATATATATATATATATATATGGTAAATGGAACAAGAATTAAACAATCATATTCTTAGTAGGTTTTAACTTAAATCCATTGTACACAAATAGGAATCCTGGGGTGCAGTTATAGCCCACCCTGGGCTTTGTGTTTGTGAGGAGGGCAGTGTGCCTGCCGCTGTTTTAATTGGTATGGCTTGCCGCCAAATGATGGATGGATGGCTTGGTGGAGCAGTGCTATGTGTCTGCTTCTGATTCGATGGCAGCCATCTGCCGGTGCCATGGGCTATTCTCAGGGCTATGTGTTTGTCCAAATGTGGGTCCTCCTGCTTTCTGGTGTTTTTATGCAGACGTGCAGCTACGACTCAAAAAACTATGAGCAGCTGTAGCCCTGGTGTTATACTAACACTCTCAGAACTTCTATTACATAAAAAGCTTGGATCACTACTTTATATAGTTCACTAAAAAAAAATAATGCATCCTTTTCCTGCATCTCCTTAAGCATATTTAGTTACTTTAACAGAATTGTTTCATGTTAGCCGGAAGGATATCAAACAATTGTGTTAAAGTAACGAAATATGCTTAGGTAGATGCAAGAAAAGGATGCATTATTTTTTCAGTGCTTTTTGTCTTGATTTTGTCTTCTTTTGTAATGGTGATGCAACAGTGAATCACCTATTGATGGAACTAAGAACTTTGATGTTTTCTTCTACCAGACTGACTTGTCAAATGTAGAAAAACGTTGAGGGTTTTTATCTTCCAATGCATCGAAAGCTGATGTTCTTTTAAGCACTTTTCCCGGGGTGTTGAAAACCTTTAGAAAACTGTTAAAACATATTATTTGATTCTTTAATTTGCGCAATCTTGAAATATCTTGATTTATAACAGTTTTATAGTAAATAGTGGTTACATTTAACAGTTGAATGAAATCAAAGTTTATACCAATGACATTATGTGCTGAATTGCTTTCAAGGAAAACAAGATTCAACCAAAATCTGAATCAGCAGTCTAAACTTTTAGAGCCATTCTTTACAGTGATATTCAAAAACATTGGTTCAAGGGGTGGCCTGCCTTGCATAGTTGCTGTATTTATGTCTGGAGTTTTCTGCTATTTTCTGTTATTTTACATAGATTCTGTTTATTAGGAAAAAAATGTAAATCCCTTTATTGTTCCTCAATTGGACTCACTCTCTGTATTGAACCCATCCTCTTGGGGAGCAGTGGGCTGCCATTGTGTGGCGCCTGGGGAGCAGTGTGGGGTTGATATTTTAAGTTTCTGATATTTATCATGATTATATATGAAACAAAAACGTGTTTATTTCACTAATAAGTAAACTATGGAGAAAATGGTTGGTGAGTATAGTTACAAGAGTGATTTTTACAGAAATATTTTACTTAACTAAGTTACTTAGCTAACTTTTGAAAGTTAACATTCATTAATTGGCAGAAATGCAATTGATTGTATATATTTTTTTGCCTTCTAAACTGTTTATTGACCAAAAACAGGGATGTATTTATAATCCAGTTTATTTAAAAATCATTTCCCAATGAAAATAAATATACAGTAGCTATCACTTATTGAAAGCATTTAGGCATTTTTTGTTACTTTAATACTTTTGTTTCCAATCTTAAAGAGAATGCTATAATCTTCTATAGATTGAAGAAAAAGAAATTAGCATTTGTTCAATCTGCTTAAGCATATTTAGTTAATTCAACACTATTGTTTCATGTACTTAGAGAGCATAAGAATGTTGTGTAGATATTAAGTTATTTCCATATTATCATGTTTAAATTACCTTGACATTGGGATGGGCTATTTTTTCAACCAATATTGTAATTGTGATTTTATTTATAATTTCTTTTGCACTAACCATAATCATATAGATTTTTCACTCTAGGGTCTCTCCAGAGTCTATTGTTGCAGGACTTAACAGTTGCTGTTGTATGGAAAAGTGCTTACCAGATCCATGCATGCTGGCTCCAACTCTCTCTTCCCTTCTGTGTGGCGAGAAATCCATTAAAAGTGTATTGCCAACACCTGAACAGTTGGACTGAGAAAGTCAGTGTGTCACTCTTGCTAAATGTAAAGTGACCAAAATTGTTTGCCCCTAAAATTAAAAAATAGTGTTTTTTAAAGTTGTGATTTTATTGTAAATTGAATGAATTGCCTTCCCCTTACTGGGTTGAAATTGGTTGAATCAATCTAAGTTTCCTCATTACATCAATTATCCTACAACTGAAAATGAAGCATGGTTCAAAAACTTAGATGAACAAAAACACTTATAGCTCTGGTCTACACTAATGCAATGAGAAAAACTTGGTTCCATGGAATAATCTTACCCCTTGGTCTAACAGCAGGCGCTTTTGTCTAATGAGTTGTGTAATCTTTGCACAAAATCAAGAGTATTCCCCTCACCTTCTATCTACTAAACCATTATGTAAAACTAAAAAAGTCAGGACAGAATATTTCAGAAAAAAAAATATTTCACACAATTCTACAAGTCTACCCCATACCTTCAGACCAAGATATTAACCCTTTGAAGAGGTTTATCTGCAACTAATATTCACCATTGACTGAAGTAAATCCAAAATATTTTTCAGGTCATTGTTTGATGTTTTCTTATTGAAAACATTAAGCTCAGATGAACTCCCCAGTTCTCTCAGAACATCTCTTAATGGCAGCTCTTTAATTTCCTGTCTTTTATTACTGGATGAGCTGATTAATCCAGGTGTGCCTGGCCATAGTCGTCATGGTTACTGAGGTCAGGCACACCTGGATTAATCAGTTCATGCAGTAGAAAAAGACAGGAAACAAAAGAGCTGCCTTAAGTTGAGAAAGTAGTGGAGTTGTGTGTAGAGTCCTTTGTTGTTACAAAGCTGATTGTGTTCTTCTTTGCTGATAAATTAACTGTGTAAATAATGTTTATCTTTAACTGGTAGTATATGATATTTTTTTCAGTTTTCAGATTTGGCATTCTCGTGTCCTTTATGTGCTCCTTCAAAACTCACACCCATTTAATCTGCTGTGAAATCTATGTCTTTTGTTGTTTGTGCTTCTTGGCCCAGACTTTATCTTAAATCCCCAGAATTATATTCAGTGGAGGGTGTATTTCAGTTTTCTTTGCTTTGGCAATTTCTCTGAGCACTTAACACCTTCTGTACACACTGAGTCGGTTCCAGCTTAGAAATGCTGGAGAGTTCGGCCTCCCTCTTAGCTTTTTGTAATGTCGGTCTTGTGCAGTTTGGTCTTTTCTTCTCCACACTTTCTTCTGAATTGGTTTTTTGCCTGTCTGAAAGACATTTTTGTTTTTTCTGTCTCTGTTCATTTCTGACTTAATAATAACACTGTAGTTTAAATAATTAAACACCAGAGATATTAATCTGTACTCTATGTCTATTTAAATTACAACTTATTTAAGAAAACAAAAACAGGAAATAACCACAGCATAGTCTTTCAATATGGACCCTTTTGTGAATGTGTTAAGTATTAGCCTAAATTAGAATATAACAATATTTCCTAAAGTCACTTAAGCCACACTTGGCTCTATCAGTGCTTTAAAACAAACCTTTGAAATGCTTTTTACCATACACTTTTAATGTGTTTCAATGGATGTAAAAATTTTAATAAGTAATGTCTTTTTAAAATTTTTCTTACTCATTGGCAATTTATGTATATATCAATAATTAAGCTGCATCAGTTATACTCTCATGGTTTCTACCCAGAGCAGATTTCCCAAGAAAAAAGGCCTTTTCCTAATTTTCTTCCTTCGCCACCGTCAGGAATCGTCCAGGTTTCCGACCATCCGCTCCATTGAGTGTAACCTCTTTTATTTCTCTGTGTTCACAGCTCCTTGGCTTTGTGTACGCCTGCTATGTTGTCAGTGCCATCACTGAGGAGGAGGACAGTTGTGAGTGACATCAACACACACACATGCATACAAACACTACTAAAACTGAACCTTGCAACAAAGATTGGTTAACACCCAGATTCAGTCACAGACATGAGAAACGCCTGAGCTTAGAACCATGGGGTTCCATCTTTTTTTTTCTCACCCTGTTTCCTTTCACACCACTCTGTCTCAGCGCCTCAGCTTCTCCCCTCTCACCATTCCTCCCCCACACCAACTAAGGCCTCTCACTCCTTTTTCCTTCAGGACCAGAGGGTCCATTTGTGCCCTTTTAACACCTTCTTTGCCATATTAACTTTTTTTTTTTTGCTTCCAACATGCACCGGTTGCCTTGTCTGTCTGCATTACCCTCCTGTCATTCTGTCTCTTATTTCATATATAGATTTTTTTTATCTCCAAATATTTTTTCTCCTCCTGCAAACATTTCTCTTTTTTCTGTTCTGGCTCCCTAAAGCCTTTCTGATCAAAAGATCTGGTGGGGTATTTTCTTCGGTGCCAAAACACCTGTATCACCACCACAGACATGAACTCTCTTCTTTTTGGATCTCTTCCCTCTTACCAAAGTGCTCATCACACAGTGCTGTCTCTTTTTGCACTGCGAATATAAGTCCAGTCTTATTCTTGCCCTGTCATGCAGTAACATGCAGGAACAATGAGGGAATGGTGTGGGAACAGACGAGGGGGTGGCAGTAAATAAGTCACTGGAAAATGGAGAAACCAGAGAAAGACACTTTTGATAAATGACTAAGCGGCTGTGACCTTACAGGGAGCGGGCCAGGGGTCCTGCCTAAGGTTAGTCGATCATAGGTCAGGAAACATTTGATCCTGGGAGTAGTGGTCATAAATATTTGATTTTTGCTCCAGTGAGCCTGGTCTGCATTTTTCCCATGTGTGAGAATGTGCTTCTATACTTATTTGGAAAATTAACATAGAGAAGGAGGCTGTGGGGGTAAAGTAATTGAAGAAAGAAACTCTGCAGTAGTGATCTATTAGGATTTGTTATGGATTGAAAACTGAGCTGTTGCTGATTTATTTGACTAAAAGATTTAATGCATTTTATTGATCTTATGAACTTGACAGCCTTTTGACCAAATAGTATTTTATTGCCAGTAAAACGCTTCATTTAAGCTAGATTATTATCATTTTGAGATGTTCGATATGTATTACATGAATGGATTCCGTTTAATTTGATTAACATTTACATAGATTAACATTTTCTAACAACGGAACAATTTTTCTGTTTTGTCACTCTAAACTCTGACATGTTTTTAAAGGCATGCTAAAACAGCATCAGAAGATGGGCCTGTTACCAGTTTTCCACAGGCAGTGGAGGAGTTTTGGGGCACCGATCAGGTGGAAACTAGACTTTTTTTAGCATATAGGATCATAAGTATTTATACCACTGGCGGATTTAGATTCAAATAGATGTTCATTAAACCAACAATTTTGTTTCTGACGAGAAACAGAAAATAAGATAAACCATGAAGAAAAAAAGTAGGAGTATCAATTTACACTTAATGACAAAGCTCATTTGTCTTTAAGGAGGCCTCACTTAAAGGTGTAGTGGAGAATTTTCACAAATTTTTGAAAAGACCCACCCTTTCCACTTCTAAAAAAAAGGCACATGCACAACCCTGTACCCACTCATGACACTAAATGCCTATTGAACTCTTGCAAGAGCGGGCATGAGCCAATTTCTCCTTCTGCGCGCTCTATTTAAAAGTGGCTGTTTGCATCGCTCATACAAGCTTACTGTCTAAAAGATGATTTGCAATTTTTCCACTATGTCAGACTCACCCCTGGCAAGTGAAAATGGGGTTATATATATTACCTGAATGATTGACTATTAGGAGGACCACTTATTCTGATGATCCACCTGGAAAAAGAACATGCTCTACTATACCTTTAACCCCTTGAACCCTATGGACCCACCGGCGGGTCCAGCTGCTACGTGACCTCATAATTTTACTAAACCCCCAGTATTGATGTAAAAAACATATTTGGCACAGTTTGGTGACATTTATGGATAAATGTGCCAAAATGGCCTCTCCGCCTAAGAAATTTCTCACTAATACCATTCTAAAATAAATGTGATTCATCTGATTGAGTCCAAATTTGGTATATTTTTACACAACATTTAGATTTGAAAGTCTGTACTACTTTTTTGTGCTATAAATAATATTTTGGTAGTGTTTTGCAATGTTTATTTCAAATAAAATTTTGGCGAGGTTCAAAAAATGCAAAATATTTTGTATTTTGTCCCTAATATTTCAGGCAGGGTCAAAGCTACAATGGTGCTGACACCAGAAAACCATTCTATGACATCTTACCTTTACAGACGTACCAAAAGTTTCTTCTTAAATCTAATAGCTTTGAGGCTATAAGTTATTTACTTTTGTGTGTTTTTGTCAGGCAGAAATTTATTTATACCCCCTTAGGGAGTAAGAGGTTAAGATCAGATCCAGTTGTGAATCTGTGGAAAGATTTGAAATTTGACGTTCCCTTATGTCTATCCAATGAGTCACAGACTCTGCTAGTGAGAATTGGTTCTACAAAATATTGACTCATGGAAAGTAAATATAAATGTTATCCACACTTTTCAGTTTTTTATTTGAAGAAGCACATTTTATAACAATGCATTATTTTTCTTCCATTGCAAGATTATTTACTACTTTGTGTGAGTACATAACATAGAATTCCTCTTACAAAAATTACAATTTATTCTTCTAAATTGGTAAATTGAAAATGTTCAATTGGTATGAACACCTTTGCGATGTCCTGTGACTTCTGCTGTGTTTTGGCATCTAAAAATGAACCGTACTGATTTATAGTCATTATATGTTGTAACTGAAGCTGAAAGAGCAGATTCTTGTAATTTGAAGTCGTCTGATGTGGTTTCAGTGTGTGTCATGCAGACCAATGTTACAAGCTGTTCTGAGGTGGTCACATTCCAGAGACTCACAGGCTGTGAGTGGTTAGTATCACCACCCCGCTGCCCCACCCCTCAACTCTGGGAAGTACCATTTAATCACCAGTCACCCCTAAATAACTCTTTCAGAGCAGCACAGTTTTAGTTGACAGAGAAAAAGACTTTGTACAAAAACATCTCCCTCTTTCTTCTTTGTGCTCCATATATCTGTCGAAAACTGTCGACCTGAGTTCGCTTCAAATGATGTTGACTCTAAAAAACTGAATACAAAATATCAAGGAAGAAATAGGTCAACGAAGCTCAGAGGAAAAGAAAACACAGAATGATATATATTGTTTTTAATTATTCCCCAGTTGTTTTCTGATCCAGGCTTTGCCAAGGTGAAAGGCTGCAGCATTGCCTCCCAGTTCTTTGTTATTGTAATCATCTCTTTGCCTGTGTTTGCACACCAATATTTACTCATGCAGACACAGGTGCACAGATGCACAGTACAAAGACCAGCTAGAGTACTTTTTTGCTTGCTTTTGCTCCTCACATTTGTTGTGCACATTAAAGCAAATCTCCTCACTGAGCTGCTTTAGTATCTCTCCTCCTCCTCTATATGCTGCTCCCTCGTTTTTGGCAGTTCCAATTCCAGACTGCTTCACAGGTAGATGCAATATTCTCACATCTAAATCCAATTCTGGTTTGTTTAAGGAAATCCGTCTTTCCTATTTTTCAATCCCGGGCTTCTGGGCTTCAATGAGTTGTGCTTGTTTATGGTTTCTGGTCTCTGGTCACTCGTTATGTCAGCCTCATTAAGCACCCTGCCGGTCAATAAATCGCACAGCTGATTGCTCCCAACTGAGGAAGAGAAAGGTAAAAATAATCCTCAGGATAATGATAAAGAGAAGGAGAGATGAAAGGGAGAGAAGCTAAGGGAAATGTTTAGGGGGAACAAGTTGAGAAAAAGGAGACGAAGCAACATTCAGTAAAAAAAAAAAAACTGAAAACAAGATGAGCTTATCATGAAAAGGGAGATAAAACAGGAATTCTTCTCACGCTGTACACTCTCCAGGGATAAGGCGTAGTTATATCCAATGCTCAGGCTATGGTAGAAAAAACTGCAATGCACACAATGCAATAACAAGCATCATATACTACCAGCTCTGGGTTTATCCAGACTCTCAGGCTTTATTAATAATAATAAGGGTATGAGTGTTTTTTTGTTTGTGGTGTCTCAAACTCTCTGTCTTCCCCTGTCGCTTAGTAAGCCTGCATATCTACACTCACTCAAACCACTGTTCTGCTTGTATTTCTGCATGTTTAGCTGACTTTGACCTGCTGCCTGTGTAGTTACGTCTTTATAAATGTGAACTTGTTCTCCAGTTATCAGCAGCGAGCAGACACACCAACAGAGTGAGTGGTGGGTAAAATCCTCTTTGTAAAGTAGGTCATGGAGTTAGCTGCCTAGTGCTGGGATGAGCTCACTTCATCTCGTCCTCTAATTACGATGCCCCTTCATGCTGAGTCAGGATGTTAGGATGTTTAATTAGGATGGATGGATGGATGGTTGGATGGATGGATGGATGGATGGATGGATGGATGGATGGATGGATGGATGGATGGATGGATGGATGGATGGATGGATGGATGGATGGATGGATGGACTAAAAATGTAACATTTGGAGAAAGTTTTTCTTTACTGTTATATATGTTAATAATATTATGCAAAGATGGTATTTAAAGCCCCTACAATTGACATTACCATAATTTTCATTGACTAATGTGAATCTAAAGAATAAAGATGCATTTATTTTAATTCTTATCGATTGAGCAAGTGGATTAACTAACTAATAAACACAAAGATGTATTTTCAAGTCAACTTGATTGTTACTTCCATGATACAACAAATGAGCTTTTAACAAAATGGGAGAGTACACTAAATGCTTTATATTAATGAGCAATGTGATCAGTGTTCAAGAGCATGCCCATTAAAATACCTTTTTGCAATGCAGTTTGTCTTTACTGTCCAATAATAATCTGAAATGCTCCTAAATTGGAAATTGTGCTACCATGACACACTTGTGAA